CTTAAAATACCGTGGTGCTCGAGACACGATGGAGCAACGTAAGATTACGACGAATTAGAACGGATCGATCGGGAATTGCGAGACGCGGCGCAGTTGCTCCATCGTTTCTCGTTCGTGCAAAAGATCGATTTTTTATGAGAAGAGTGCGTTCGAGAGAATCGTAACGTGCGATCGTAACCGTTACCTGCGTGCTGCGGGGAATGCTGTTTGGGAGAGTTCATGTCCGGTGGATCGTCGCTGAAGGACACTGACTTTTCGAACGACACCGACTTGTCTGTAATAGAGGTTGATCAACGATATTTTTGTGATTTCGTGCCGCTAGGTTGTTTTCGTAAGGACAGCGAAATAGCGTGCGTCCCGCAAACTTATCAACGGAAATAAACGAAAGAGTGCAAAAGAGGCGAGATACGAACAAACGTTCGCGTTCGATGCAATCATTGGAAAGGGGTATAAGCGTGCTCCGTAAGCTCTAAATTAATTTCCGACTCGAAGCGGAGACGTTGCGGGGGAGAGAGAAAAAGAAGAGTAGGAAAGAAAGCGATGGCGGAAGAACGGAAAAAAAACCGATAGAGGTTAAGGATGTTTGAAACGGGCGAACGCGGTCGAGCGACGTAACTCGAAAGCGATGGGGACGAAGAAAGTAAGGAGGTCGACGCGAAACGTTGTCGGAAAATCGTGCTTGAACGGTACAAAAACGATGGAAGCGCGGGAGAGAAAGTAGGCGAAACGGGAAGAGCGAAGAAACGAAGAAAGAGAGGAGAGCGGGAGATCGGGGCGAGTGCGGTGCTACAGGGACAACGATAAACGTAAAATACGACGATGCATGCGCTGGTGCAGCACGTGTACCATGAGATAACTTGTTGCGAACCGCACCTTTGCCTAATTTTGGTGGTTTTACGTCGGTCCTTAAGTACGAGTCATCTGTAACGGCAGGTTGAGACACTTGAATTTTACAAAGGAGAACCGTTTTAATCACACTGGTAAAACGTAGGGCACTATTATAAAATGTATACGATCACGTGTAAGTAATAAATATTATGTAAATATGTATATAGTATAAATTTATACGTATACGTATAAAGGCGGTTACAGTGATTCGAAGGAAAATAGAAGATAGAAGAAAATGAAGAGACACACCTGGCAATGAGGCAGAGCTGGAGCTAGAGTGTTTGTCGAACTCGTCCCCGGCGCCTGGTGTGTGCGTCAATCGGAATAACAAAGCAGTTGTACAGCAGGGTATCAGGAATCTTTTAACCGCGTTACGCTCGCCGGCGGTGGTACGTCGCGCTAAAGCCATCGACGCTTTCGTCGATTTCGTTCACGAGTTTATCGTCGATCTCGACGCGGGGAATGTCGTACCACCGCTGGCGCATAAATCACATTTATGTTTGCACGATTCGCTACTCGAGCGGAGCGGCGACGAATCGCGCGCGTCCCGTCGACGCTCCGATCGAGGCGAATCGGAATCGAGGTTGAGATGTCTTCTAAAAGAGAAACGAAAGAAAAGTCACGACGAACGAGACGCGTGGAAACGACGAACGATCGTACGACGAAGAAAGCGAGGGGTGGTACCAACATACACGCAAGAGAGAACGGGACAGAGGCGGTAAAGCGTCGCAGAATAAAATCTCTTGAACGAAACGAGCTAACGCTTCTAGCGTGTCTAAATGCGACGAAAGATCGAGCCGAAAGCGAACGCTCGCGTTCGTTTCGACGACGACCTTTTGTTTCGGTCTCGTCTTCTTCCGGTCGCGTGGACGGTCTCTTTTTCTCGTCGAAACGAATCGGAGAAGCCGGAAACCGAAGAGACCGAGAAAACAAGGGTGGGCGTGAAGGGGCTATAGTCGAGGGTCGACGACGGGCGGAAAAGAAAAACTACGCGGAAATCAAGGGACAGAATCTGTTTCGCAGAGAAGAGAGAAACCGGAGATAGCGCGTCTAACGAGAAAAGAGCAGAGACGTTTCGATAGCCGACATTTATGGCCGATAGGCGAAAGAAAAGGAGAACGTACCTGGTCCTCTCGCGTATGGATCGCGTCCCGCGGGAACTTGCAAGTAGTCTCGCGGCGATGGACTGGTGTGCGGCGCGTGGGTCAGAGCCTTCTGCACCAGGCCCGTCAGGTTGGCCAGCTGTCTCTCCATGTGTTCTACTCTTATCCTAGAGCAACGAACGAGCAACCGATTAGAATCGAACAGATACGCGCGAACGATCCGTTTGTCATTCCCGCTAAACGTACATGGAGGATCGAACAGAACAAATCGTGGATCTAATCGAGGTTAAAAGCGTCTTCCAAAAAGCGTTCCATGGGATGCAGCTGGTATACACGGAATCGACGCGGCGCGACGCGACGACGACGACGACGATGACGACGACGACGACTACACAACTTCTCCCACAAGACGCTACGTACACCGTACAGGTACACATTCAAGCGCTCGATACGCATTCTCTCTACGGTCGCTAATCGACATGCTTACATTCCATCGATTTACAATTCCATCGTGGACACAGGGTGTAGGTGGACGTTGCCGGACTCGAATCGGTAACTCGATTCCCGGCAATTTCGCTATCGAATTCGACCTACCTGCATGCCTCGATACGTACTACGCATGCATCGAACGAACGACGCTCGTTCCGGGGAGTGTGCGAGTATTTTCCCCAGAGCCGCGAGGGAAAATAAATGGCGCGCTTCGAGGCGAACGAACGAGCCGCCACCCTAGGGTCAATGGAATCGACGCGGACGTCGAACGTCGATCGATCGACTCGAAAGGACGCCGCGTATTTATCGTGGAACGTCATCGAGCAGGAACAGCCGGTCGATCGGCAGCGGGTATAAATAACCGAGGCGGCGCGGCGGAAAGTTTGACCCGAGAGAAGCGAGCGCGCTTTTCACTTTTCATCGTTCCCGTTTACGTATCCGTTTCGCGCTCCTCCCCGTGAACGACGGCTCGTCGAATCTACGAACGACGACGCATTCACAAGCGCATTCGTATACTAATCGAGAATCGGACGGTAACGCGGCGGACGCGAAGCCGCGTACGTGTCCCGCGGATCTATCGCGGATACAAGATTTCAAGAATAGAAGTGGAAGTAGGAGAAGAAAGAGAAGAGAAAAGAGGAGAAGAAGAAGAAGAAGAAGAAGAAGAAAGAAGAAAAGCGCAGAGAAGAGAGGATAGAGGTGAGTACCGAGTAGCGTCGTAGCTCTGACCACCGGGTGGCAAAGGTGGTGGCGCCCCTGGAGGAAACGGGGATCGCGGAGGACCGGACGGCGGACGGCCTGGCGGTTTCACACCGTAAAGGCTGTACGATTCCTCCAACAGTTCCGTATCGCTGCACCACCCACAACAGAGACACACGTATCCGCGCTATCAGCCATCCACGGAATTAGGCGCGCGCGCGCGCTTTTCGCGACTTTCAATAACTATATTTTACTTTGGGCGAATCGAGCGATCGAGGCTCGCCGCGTGACGGTCGGTCATCGTCGAGTTCGAACGAACGTCGCAGGACGAGCGAGAATTCGTCGTTAAACTCTGATTACCTGGCTTCTTCGTCGATGACCGGCGTGACGGTTCCCGAGTACTGCGAATAGTACGGATCCTCGTAGCTGCTTCCGGCGCTGTAAGGGCCGGGCGGGTATCTTCCGCTTCCGGAGCCGACTCCGCCGCCTCTCTCGGGACTGCTCATGTAGCCGCTTTCCCCGTGCAATCGATCTGCGGAACGGCAAGCGTTAACAAGGAGGATTCCGAGGGTCCAAGGGCCGCCTATCGCGCGATTTTCTCAAAATTTTGCGACGAAGCGACTCGAGAGATCGCTTGCGATCTCGACGGAACGTCGAAAGATCGGTAGGATTTTTTCGAAGGGATTGCGCGCGTCTCGTTCGACCGAACGCGTTCGCGAATCTGCCAATCGTCTCAGGGTGTTTCTCGAAGCCGTTCCGTTACGACCAAACCGCCTCCTCCTTCCTCGAACTCTTCGAGCGACCCTGGCCTCTCGATTCGTTGCGATCGCGATCGACTCGGAAGGATTCGAGCTTCCGGGAGTTAATTAAGGATACTACTGACCTGCTATACTATAGAGGGAGACCGAGCTGTCTCTAGAGAAGCGAGCCGAGCCCCCGAGGCTTCCAAGGGGACTCTTACCACAGTGGTAGCTGCGAAGCGGCTTGGCCGGCGGCACCCCGCCACCACCTATCCAACCATCCGGAAAACCAAACAAAAACCAATGTACCCAGCTGCGACGCGTACGCGTACGCGTCGCGTTTCTCCCCGGGATCGTGTTCTTTGCCAATTCGCTCGGTAAAAGTGCACGAAACGCGATCGCGATTCGATCGCGACTCCTCCTCGAGTGTTCGACTTGCACGCCGTGCACTTCGCCGTCGCGTCCTAGCAAAGACGCGAGCAACCTTTTCGACCGTTCTACGACCACGGTCGTTCCGCGTTCGCCGATCGAACGGACGCCGTGTACGCCGCGGATACCGAAACGGAGACGAGCCGACCGCGTGGACGCGCAAGCGAGGATGGCGCGTGCTAGCCAGCGTTCCCGAACGACGATACTCGTTCGCGATCCAAGCGAGAGCAGAGGCGCGTTGCTCGCGAAGCGTGCGAGAACGAAGGAAGCGAGCAGAGGGTAAGTAAGAGTTATCGCGAACGAGCTACGGGTTTGCGTGTTAGAGCGTTAGAGGGTGGTGTGCGCGCATAAGCATGCCAGCAACGGATCTCGTTCCAACGACGATTCCCGAAACGGCGACGACCCATCCCCTCGACACGCTAAACGGTCGGATCCGGTCGGATTTTCGCGGATCGTGGCGTACCTGGCGTGGCCAGAGGTTTCGGCTGCGTCGGGGTCGAGCTTGGTCCCCCGACCACCGACGACGCCGCCGGACTGTACGCCCTCATCAACGGTCCTCCTCGAGGCAGGGTGCTGCTTCCTCCGATGTAGTAGCCGCTGCTCCCGGAAGACGAGTTCTTCGCCGTCTGCAAATACAAATTTCCGACTTAATTGGTCGCTCGGTTAGAAACTCGTCGATTCCGTTTACACGCGGTATCATCTTCGTCGAGCGTGTCCGTCGAAATACGAACCGTCTCGCGATCGAAAGATAAGCCTTATCCGGGTGTCGTAAAAAAGCAAATATCGCGCTAACGATAGCAAATCAATGCGCGAATTGCGCAACGATCTAGATAGTTGCAACGGTAAAAGTTGCAATTTGTTCAAACATGGAAACGATCGGTTCGAAACGAGGTTTTGGATTTATAAGAGTTTCGCGTTCTTCGTGTTCGTGCCACGAATTCCAGAGAAAATGCGAAACACGCGACGAAAAAGGAAAAGGCCGCGCAATCCCGTGGAAACGAAAATGATATAGATCGCAACGACCAGAGGCTTCATTTTCTACGATATCGTGGACTCGCAACAGCGAATCGGTCGAGCGCGATTTCACGGTGGCTACGACAGGTAAACGGTCGACAATTTTCCGCTTCGTCACGACCATTCTGACGAATTCGTCGTGTACGCAACAGAGTCGCCTACGAGCATCGACGATTACGCAAAGGACCTGTCGCTCGATCGCGAGAATCTCTGGTATCGTCAAAAAGAGAGGAAAAAAAAGGGAAATCGCTAAAAGTTCCCCGCATCCGTGCTAGAAGACTCTCGCGTGTTCGAAAGCGATCCGGTCGAACCGCTTTTCGTTTCATTATCTCGTAACGAATCGTTATCGTGTACCCGGCCGAGGCCTCGGTCACGGTAATCGCTCTGCGCGGGGCTACGCCGATTCGAGCGGTGCGTTCGCGCGAATCGCATTTACCAGCATTTCCGGAAGTAGTGCGTACAGGAAGGAAGGTGGCACGGAGAGAGGGAAGGCGAGTTCTGGACGGACGAGCAAACGGTAGTCGTCAAAGCGGTATCAGGGGCAAGTTACTCCTCCCTCTTCCTCGTTCAAAGTGCTCGCGGAGCCGTGCTCGCCGGCTTCGGCACCAGCTTTGCTTAGTGTCGTTTACTCGCGCGCGCTGCTCGCAACACGCTTCTCGAACACGCGATCATTCGAATAATTTTGCGATTACCGCCGACTTGTGACGGTAAGAATTAGACGACAGCGAACGACGATTCGAACGAGCGAAATCGCCGAATCGAAAGAGAACGACGAGAAAAGGGAACACGACTACGAGATCCGGTGTCGATGGAAGGGTCAACGAATGATTTTCTTCGACGCGACGCGTTCTTTCTCGCTTGTCTGATGCTCCTCGGTTCGGCGATTTGTCCGTGCCACGGAAAAATTCAGACGCCCATGCACATGGCCCAACTCACTCAGAAGGGATACATTCAGGTGAGAAAGTTCGCACGGCCTGATTCTAACGACGTCCGAACGCTCGAAAAAAAGAACAATCGTTCGGCTATTGAGCGAGTCCTTGAAACGAATTCGTCACTCGCCAACGATTGTCCGGTTGCTTTCTATTCGTTTGTTTTGTGCCAAATCACGATGATTCGCTATTAGCTGCCGCCCTGATCTACGTGTACCTAACGTAGCCGTTCAGCGCGCGAGACTTAATTGGTCAATAGGATCACACGTATCGTTAACGAGAACGGACGATTTTTACAGTTTCTACGCTGGGAACTACCCGTGCCGGAGATCACAGAGTTCACCTTCTGCCTGTGGGTCCAGTCCAACGACCTCACTCACCCCCATTCCATATTCTCTTATTCGAGTAAGTACCCTCGCCGATTTAATTTGTTTCTCGACTACGGTGATCCAAACGTTCTTCTATGACAGAAAACGAACGCGAACGGTTGGTCCGATCGTGGATATCGCCGAAGGGAAGAAGCGTCCACTTAGAAATCGGAGGGAAGCAGGTGGTCGCGTCGGCGACCGAGATACGCGAGAAGCGTTGGTACCACGTGTGCCTGAGCTGGGAAAATCGGGTCGGCCTGTACGGTTTGTGGATCAACGGACAACTGTGGGCTCGCGGCCAATCGGACGAGGTAAGATCGCGGATCGGTAACAGAACGAACGAAATTAAAAAACGTTCGAATTTCAGACGGTAGGCCACGTGATACCGAGCGGGGGCGACATCGTGCTCGGGCAGGAGTACACGGATTTCGACAAGGGGCTCGAAGAAGGCATCGAGGGATCGGTTCTGGGCTTTAATCTGTTGCTGGCCTCCGCTTTCGATCCCTCGGCGCGGGGCTACGGAACGGAAAGCGGCCGCAATCCGATTGCTCTACCTTCCGGCAGTGGCTACCCAAGTTACGGCAACCGAGCTTCGTTTCCGAGCATTTCGACTAA